GGGGGTGGGGGGGGGGGGGGGGGGGGGGGGGGGGGGGGGGGGTGGGGGGGGGGGGGGGGGGGGGGGGGGGGGGGGGGGGGGGGGAGGTGTTGATAACCTCTTAAACAGCTCCCACACCCATACCCACATCCACACCCACACTCACACCCACACCCCACACCTCACACCCCACAACCACACCCACACACACTCACACCCACACCTACACCCTCGTTTGCATTCACAAATCGTAACATTAGAGGACGATGCCCGTTGTTGAAAGTGTTTTGCCGTTTACGTGCAGTGTATACAATTAGCTTGGTTGTTTTCTGTTTGTCTTCGTTTTTGAGCGTGAACCGTCTAGAACGACCGTCCCTATCTTATCAGTGTACTCATGATAGAAGGTGCAAATAATGACTACATGTTTTTTCCCAGGAAAATATGCATGTTTGCTTTTATAATTCTCATTGATTCTTTCGTCGCGTATTGGTAATTACTTTTCGAGTCATGATAAAGGATATTAAAAAAAGGGCCTCATGTGTTTTTTCCAATTTTCTTCTGAAGATAACCGTATGCTTTTTATTTGCCACTCATTCATCGATCCATGTTTATATATTGCCCTTCACGTCTAAAGATTGAGACAAAACCTTACAAACTAGCTGTCAGTCTGGTTTCGGCTTTTATTCGGTAAGGATTAAATGTTACACTTCTCTTTACATAGAAGGTCATATCCTATTCCAGTTGCAGATATTGCACAACTCAATCAACTTATCTTTTCCATCTACGGGCGACTTATGAGACGCAGGGGATACATTAACCAATATAAACTCACCATGACAAGATTTATTCTATGAGGGCACATCGTAGCGAAGCATACGAAGGATCCTATAGTTTAGCCACCCTGAAGTTTCTTATGAACGTTGCGATTTTAATCATAGAATCGAGCTAATTATATTCGAGCTCGTACTGTGGCCAATTATACCAATATATGGATCGGTATAAACAGGACTGTAGCTACTTTGAGGCTGTCTGCACCGATTAGTCTAAAGAGATGATGAATAAGGCCTAACGATTATGACGTTTTCAGCCAAATAGTGATCACAGGGTTTCACAGTCTTTTGTCTTTTGATTCAGTTGATCAGCCACTCATATGAAACTAGTGTTTGAGGTGTATTTGAGACGGACAAAGCAACACACAAAGCACGTCACTGAGATTGAAATAGCTATTTGGTTGTAATTATGCGTTTTAGTAATCCTAATAAAAAGAAAACATGCATATGGTTTAATAACGTGTTTCGAATAGACAGACGCAATGGAATTATTTACTAGTCCTCGATTTCAGTCTTTCAGTCTAGAGAGCGTGAAATTAAATTAAACCAAATAGTATTTTTCGTGTGCAAAACAAAATATTTAATAAACCATAAAAATAAGTGTGAAAACAAATTCTCGAAAACTGTCTTCAAAGAAAAATTTTTACGAAACTGGAATCAAAGTTTTTTCGTTTATAAGACGGATAACACAAAACTACAGCTAGTGCCGCACTATTTTGACTATCCCCAATCATTTTATTTGTCATGAATCACATACTATAATAGAATCGTTTATATTTGCCTGATTTTGATTTGATCTCTGATTATTAGTACTTATCACACATTATTGATTTCATTGCTTAATTTTAGACTCAAATCGCACAAACATCAATGACTGCATTAAAACATATTTTCATCCTGTTTTTAATTGTTAGCACTATACCTAGTGCAAATCCCGGTCTGCTTGGATTTTCCCTTGGTGGTAGTGTTTGTGTTGCTGGTTGTACAGTTGCTTATACAGTTTGCTTAGGTGGAACAGCTGCAGCTGGTAAGTGATCTACGAGTTTTCGTATGAACAAGAAAAGTTTATTAAATTCTACTCTAGTTTTTTAGGAGCAGCTACGGCTGGAGCAGCAGTACCAGTGGGTGCAACTGTGTGTACTGTATCTTTTAACACTTGTGTCGGCACTTGTACATTAACAGTTACGGTTTCCACGGGCCCTTTCTAATTGACATAAGTCTTAGATTTTGTAAAGGTTTCTTTGCCGTTCTTTAATTCAACTGAAAATTTAAAAAAAGAATTACAGTAATATTAAATGGCATTGTATCACTTTCGTTGCGTTTGTTGTTTTTTGATTATTCATTTCTAATTTTTTTTTCTACTCTTGGATGTCATGTTGTATAATTACGTATTTTTATTTTATTTTACAAAGGTTCTTAGTACGCCAATTGAAGGGTGTGGGTGTCACTCTTCTTTTAGCCCACACCCCCCACACCACACTCTTCGTTTCTCTATGCAATTATATACCTAGGGCTTACTGCGTATAATAGAAAAAAACAATCTCGACACCTTGTTCAAATGTCAAGATACATATAGCTATCAATAGTCCAAATATTGCTTGCTCAAAAAATTCATTTTATGGCCCATAGTATTCTTTAATATTTAAAGGAAACATCAGTACAGTTCACTAATGAGATTTATTTCTTACCTAATTTTACTCTTTTAATATTGTGACATTTGTCTATCAACATTCAGTTCATCGAATTGGTACTGAAATTTCTCATATTTGTGTGTCTATTTCTTTCCTAGTACTTGCTGAACAGAAAAAAAGAAGAATCAACTGACTAAAAAGCTAGAAAACAAGTTTCAACGAAAGATGAGAATACACACAGAAAAAACAATATAAATAGAAAGCGCTCGAGACAGAAGATCGAACAACGACAAAAAAGGAAAACGTATTGTTGATAAGCGATTGTATTTTTTTTATTCCTTGTTTTTTAGTTGTTTCAAATATTCTGTTGAACAAGTTTGAAAATTTTATTTAGTTTTTATTTTCGTATTTATTTGCTGCAATTTCAAATGTACGACGAGAAAAAAGACAAAAAGAGGGTTGTTATATTAGAGTACTGCTTTGTACACATCAAATCAAGTTCTAAGCAAATTAAATAAAGGTCACCAATCATGGAATGATAGTATACGGAAGAAATCAGTCATATGAATACTCAAATTTAATAAACAAATACACAGAGAGAGAGACTGAGAAACAGTCACAATTTTTGACATGGGATGCATACATATATTATGTTTTTTTTTTGTATATAATAAGAAATAAATAAAGAGAACGAAAAAAAAAGAACACGTTACATAAGAACAACAACAAATCATGAAAATGTTTTTGTTTTGTGACATGACACGAATTTAATTTCCTTCTTCTTCTTCGCTTTCTTCAACTTCTGTTTCAGCCTGTTCTAACCAAGTAAAAAAGTCTTCTGTTGATATTTCAACAACGGCATGCCCTAAATCAAATATATTGTTAACTTATTTTGGCTTATCACTTCGTTTTTTTAATGTTTTACCTTCAGTTTCAGATTGATCTGGATGATGGAGCCATTCAAAACATACATCTTCACTTACACATCCTTCATCGTAGAATATATAGAATAGTAGTAGAGCCATTTCTATAGTAAAAAAAATAAAAATTTGTCGTTTTTCTTGAAAAATTTACCAACAATAGTCTCTAAATATGTTATGCTGAAGTCATTCTGTGGGAATTACAATAAGGCATCGTTCAAGGCAGACAATTTAGAAATTAAAAAGTTTTAATTTTTCTTTTCTTAATCATAATAATTAGAATAAATGAGCGAGATCATGATTGCCTATTATTGACACATTGCAAATAATAACAATACATGAAATCCTTTCGAAACTTTTACTTCACTAGTCGCAAATGCATCACAGCTTCGCAATTTGGCAATGCTTTGTACATTTTGCCAATTAGTGACGCTCGATTTCAAAACATTTTCATCTATCTACAAGTATCTGAATGACAAAAAAAAAAGAACTTCTTCATTTGGACAGTCCATTCACCATTGAGCATTATGAGTTCGATTCAGCGACAAAGAAACATTTAATTTGTTTTCTGATTAGTATCTATTAAAATTTGATTTTGTTATTTCAGCATCAAATATTGATATTTAGTAAAGACTCTGTTGTTATTTTGTCATTCATTCATTAATGTTAATTAATTTAGTATTTTGATGATGAAGCTTATGTTTAAAAAATAAAATGAAGAACTCTAACAAAACAAACAACGGTGAGTGAATATCTGCTGTTGTACAAAATCGTGAAGTTAGATTAGTTTACATTAGAGAAAAAAGTTTTCGTTGACAAAATCAATGATGATAATGATATTTTGATTCGAAATATTTTTTTAAAAATCAATATCTATTCATTTACATATAAGCATATATATTGTTAATCAAATATGAATACTTGTTACAAGTTCAAATACTAGATATTCAGTGATTGATAAGTGCTTTTAGTTGAAATATTTCTGATTCCGTCATGATTTTATTATTTTTTGCAAGACTTGTTATAATTGTTTTGAAATATTTTATTGAACTAGTCAAGCTTTCTTCGAATTCGATTAGATTAAACAAAATGGAGAAAACTCATTGATTCTGTTTTCTTTTAAATACAAATCATGTTCATTATTAGTTCAGTTGAGCACGAAAATTGAATCGATCCGGTGGAGCAGCATCACCATTGAGTGTAAAGTCACTCCATGTACCATCCTGTTGTATATTGTCTGCCCATTTGAAATCGATAGTAACGGATGATGGTTGAATCCCTAACAATCCTCGAGACACCATTAATTCAAGTTCTCTATCTTTCATAGCATAGGATACATCAGCTACTTTTGTCCATACATATGAGTTGCTAACATTATTACGTTCAAGGGACGTTTCTTGAGACGATAAAACAGCTCGATTCAAAACAAAATCATAACCAAGCCAACCCGTAGTATAATTGGTATCGACATTAAGAAATAATAACATCCAATTGGAATCAGTATAGTTTGTTGTTAGATTATTAGTGCGTACATAGAAATAAATGTAATCTTTGTTATAACTCACCTTAGCCTCGACAATATCATTTCGGCCAGTATGATTAACATAAGGGCCTGCTTTTCCATACCCACGATAATCACGCCACACAGGTGTTCCTGGATCTGTTTTAAAACTCGGTTGTACTGGTGTCCAGTCGTCGAAATTACCATCAATTACAATGGGACTTGGTTTTACAGGAATCAATATGCGAACTCCTTTGTAGCGTCGAACATAATCGACTAATTGATAATAATAATTATCACCATGACCGCCATTCATTGGTTCGATATCGCGACTAAACTCTTGAATAAATTCATCAACAAATATCACTGGTGGCCAAGTCCATCGACTCCATGTATCATATTTACCTGCCGTCCATTCATTCCATCCAGTAACAAAGACAAAAAGAGGATCAATTTCTAATGCACGTTGCCATTGTTCGACAAAATTTAATCCCCAATTAACTGCATCAGTTCGATTATCCATAGAATTGTTATGATAGCTTCGACCAAAAGCACCTGGCCAACTCATCGGCGCGGTACTATTATATTGTATTGTATTATAATTTTGAGCAACTCCAACAGCTACTTCTTCTTTTTCACCATCACTATTTGAATAAATATGCTGAGGATAAATTTCAAGCCATGCCCATTGGTTAGGTTCTGTTGGACCTTGATTGTAAGGTGCAATATTACGACGTAAAGTAAAAAATTGGCGTATGTCATCGTCAACATATTCTGGATCAGCTAACATCAATGGTTTACCTTTCCATCGAAACCATAGATCAGAATAGGATCCATTAGCATACAAATCCTGATACAATGCTCGTGTTGTTTTTCTTCCAATATCTCCAGGATTACCAAATGGACAAAGAAAAGCAATCTGTGGTGTTCGTCCACCTTTCGTTCGAATATCACTATAAATCGAACAGAGCTTTTGATAGCTATTTCGATAGGTTACAGCATTTGAAACGTCAAAAATAACAACATCAACACCAGCATTGACAATCATTGACGCATGTTTACGAAGAATAAAATCATCATCAATAACATAATAACCAAAGAGACTTTGACCCCAATGATGAGAATTATAAAGTGGTCCCCAATAAGGACTATTGAGATCGTACAGAGCTTCAGGATGTGCCTTGAGAATTTTTGATACATCATACGGTCCATTTGACACTCCATCATTGCCCAAAGTTAAAAAATAGAAAATTCCAACTGTACGATTAATACGTGGTGGTCCAACTTGTGTTATATTTGGTAGTGCTCGTCCAAGACCATCGACGGCTACCCATGTATCACTTTGAACATCTTGTTGACACGAACACAGATAAAATGTGACAAGAATACAAAATAATATTAACAACCATGCTCCTCTCATGCTGTATCTAACACCACAAAGAAAACAGATAAATTTACAATATACTATGGTGCACATGCATTTTTATCAGACAAGATAAAGAAGAACATTTGCTTGTCAGAGTGGTAACAGACAAAAATTACATATCTGTTATTTGTTTTTCGTTTTACATTGCTGATTGTTGTGTATTATTCAGAAAAGAAAACGATAAAGAATTCAGTTTTTTGATGATCCTAGACTAGAGTAAGTCAATCATCATGAGTATCACGTTGTCGAACAAATACAAACTGTCAAAGAAAAGATTCATCCTAACTCAAAACATGTCGACTGTAAACTAAAAACTTTCTTTTTTCCTAAAAATAATAAGCTTGTGATAATTTTACCAAAAATACTTGATTATTATTGCACTTAATGGTGAAAATTCAATCAAATCATGTTCTTTTCGAATAACATTGAATATATTTTGTTTACTTGTTTTTATTGTCTGTAAGAATCATAGAGACAAAATATATGAAGTTAGAACAAAACCTGCTACTTGATGGATATTTGGACGAATCGATCGAAACATTAGATACACATCGACAGTTCAAGTCAACCAGTCGAATTACTACTTTTCGATAAATTGTGGGTGAGGTATTCTGTTGTTCTCAAAGAAATCAGACGTTGATTAAAATATTAAAGATTTTTCTTCTACAAATGTCTCATTTTCGAGTAGCCAAAACTTGTCTAGTAAATACAGAGGTAAAGATTTGAACAT